GCTTTATAGACCCAGTAAACACGGATACTACGCTGCTATCTCTTAACAAATATGAGAATTTTGAAACTCAGATGATATGTCTAGATGAATCATAGAATTATTAGGGTTGGAAAAGACCTCCAAGATCATCTGGTCCAACCATCACCCTACCACCATTGTCACCCACTAACCCATGTCCCTAAGCACCAAGTCCAACCCTCCTTAAACGCCCCCAGGAGCAGTGACTCCACCATGTCTCTTGGCAACCCATTCCAATGCCTGACTGTTCTTTCTGAGGAGAAATGTCTCCTTATTTTCAACCTAAACCTCTCTTGGCACACCTTGAGGCCATTCCCTCTGGTCCTATCACTAGTTACCTGTGAGAAGAGGCCGACCCCCAGCTCCCCACACCTTTCTTTCAGGAAGCTGCAGAGAGCAATGAGGTCTGCCCTGAGCGTCCTCTTCTCCTGACTTAACAACCCCAGTTCCCTCAGCTACTCCTCATCGACCTTGTGTCCCAGGCCCTTCACTAGCTTTGTAGCCCTTCTCTGGACATGCTCCAGGGCCTCAGTGTCCTCCTTGTAGTGAGGGGCCCAAAGCTGAACACAGCACACGAGATGCAGCCTCACCAGAACAGAGTACAGGGGGATGATCACCTCCCTGGTCCTGCTGGATGCACTATTCCTGACACAAGCCAGGGTGCCTCTGGCCTTCTTGGCCACCTGGACACACTACTGGCTCGTGTTCAGGTGAGCATCAACCAACACCCCCAGATTCTTTTCCTCTGCACAGCTTTCCAGCCACTCTGCCCCAAGCCTGTAGCACTGCATGGGGTTGTTGTGGCCAAAGAGCAGGTGTTTAGCCGTGTTGAACCTCATCCCATTGGCCTCTGCCCATCGACCCATCCTATCCAGCATCCAGTACTGTATTATCCTAATATTAAATGTACAACTAGACATAACAGCATGTTCTTTTGCTTCACGCTCATTGATGTTTTAATTATCAAGGGCCACTAATATAACATCTGCATGAGTGAAGTCAGTGTTATGGTCCTTAGGTCCCCAGATAAGAACCACTGCCCGGTTCTTCACTGGGAAGCTGGAGCACTGACATCTTCCTCAATTGCACATTGCTGTCTCTGCAGCCGTTTTTTGTCCTTTCCTGGTGCTATCTTTATGCATTGTTTTGACTCAGTAGCAATACCTTTTTCCTCCTTTAGGAGCTGCCCCCAGTTCTTTGCTGAGGACCCCAGGACCAGGCTGTCCAGTGGGATGTGCATTACTGCTCTCCAGACCCTACCCTGGGTAGGTGCCAGGGCACAGACTTCAAGCACCCCATCCCACGTGAGCTGTGCTCTGGCTGTATCCTCATGCTAGGTGTCAAATCATGAGATCTTATTTCTGCTTCTAATTATTCAAGGGTTTGTCAAATTAAGCCTTGTTTCTTTTTTCCAAAGAAATCTGAATTTATAAATAGATTTTATTATGATGACAGGAAACATATGATACTCTATTCAGGGTTCAACACATGCATATTTATAGTGTAGTACTTGTCCTCTTTGTATCATTCTGGATTTTTGTATGGGAGGTACACAAGATTGCCTCTCAGATGAAACATCTTGTTGCTTTCTGAACCTGTAGCTGCTTGTTTCCTCCCTGTGCCTCCTCTCTTCTGCCTGCTGCGAACACGAACACTGCTTTGTGCTCTTCTGCCCAACAGCTGAGGAGCAAAGCTTTCAAACCAGCTGAAGAAAACAGGGGCAAAGCTTCTCTGCTCATGCTGGCTGGGTGGCTCATCATGGCCTAGCTCTTGGAGGGTCCCGATGTGAGCAAACACCTGTGTGGGACCCCCAGGGACCTGCCTGCCCCTGTGCCCAGCACCCAGCTCTGGGGCTGTGGCAGCAAACACACGGCTGGAGGAGCAGAAGTGTGCTGTCCCTTCCAGAAAGGGCTTTTTAAGCCAAGGAGAGCCTGCTAGCATCAAGGGAGGAAAGCATAATCCATAAATGTCAGCAGACACGACTGACCACTGACAATTTGGGATGATGTACCTGATGTATCCCGCTTTCCTGCTTTTTTTTTTTTTTTTACAGCACTCTACTATGCCTTCTTAGCAGCTACTATTTCAAAAAATGCAGCTCTAAAATCCTAGAGGAATTACTATATGTACAACTTCATATGTATTTAGATGGGTACCATATGTCTTATCGATTTGATAGTGTAGCTTTTTCCAATAAATTGAATTTATTCAGACAAAAATAGGGAAATAAATGTCAATGGCTGTAAGTAGGAGTGCTGGCACGAAGAAACAAACCTTAAAAGCACATGGCTCAAGAACCTGTGCAAATCTGATCTGGGAATGGAGTGGGAGCAGAGTGTAATTTTAGTGCCCCTTTTAAGACAGCAACAGGCAGTGATTATTTTTGGCATTTCCCTGCATAATGATGTGTTGATGATAAAGCATTGAAGTAAATATGTTATGAGGGGCTTTTTAATTATTTTTATTATTATTTATTTATTTTAGCAGAGATGCCTAAAGCGCTGAGGAGCTGTTGCTGTTTTTCCTTTAACAGGACAAATAAGTAACAACAGACCATGCATTTTAAAACTGGAATTATATTGGCTTATTTGACCAGTACCAAACCAAGATTGTGTACAGCAATTTTACTTTATATGACACATAAAGGATAATAGTTTTAAAACAGATCACCCATAATATGAGTAAAGAAAAGAAAACCATTGCCATAATATACATGTATATATTATCAACACTCTAAAAAAAGGAAGTAAGCAAATGGGTATATTAATCACAGGAGTGCTGTATTGAGGTTTACAGCAATTAGTAACAATGGCAACAAAGCATTTTTCATCACTTCTGTCAAATTTGCTCTTCAATGCACAGATCTTCATTGTGTAAACCTGGTGCCTCTTACACTGATCTCACATGTCCAAAGCTCCCTTGACTTCACTGAAGTTAATCTCAATATACATTCCTGTATCTGAAAAGTAAATAGATGGCAGATCTTGTTTATTACTGAAGATAGAATAGGATCTTTTTAGATGAAGAATGATAAACTGTCAACACATCTAATATTTAATCTCTATTTGCACCAGAAATCTGGCTGGCAGAGCTATTTCCATTCCAGTCAAACAGCAGGAGGATACAATGTCATTTTTGTATCTGCCAATTCTGAACATCAACCTCCCAGGCAAAACGCTACTACTAACTTTCGTTTGAAAAATGAACAAATGAAGCAAATAATTCAGAGAATGATTTCAAAATAATCACTGCATTCAAGAGAAGTGACCCTGCACAACATATAAAGTAAAACGAGGTGAAAGTCATTGATTATATGGTTCCCTGTGACTTACCCACACAATATACTGTGCTAATAAAAATAACTTTTTAAGATGTAAAAAGGATGATAACAGTTTTCTGGTCTGCTTTTCTTTATCACGTAGACCATAGGCTTTCAGCTAGGACAGTTTTTGTACACAGGTTTGATGTATGGCATTTTACATATTACCTGATGCTGAGCATTGAAGATTTGATAGAGGACTGCAAATTTCTCCCAGTGTATAATCAACTTTTTTTTTTTTTTTTTCCAGTTCTAGCATTTATTAGATGGCCTTGTGCTGATTTCTTCTGTGTGAATTTCTCATACACGCTTGTTGTTGAATATGTTACTCCAGACAGAATGTCAAAAAGAGAAAGCAGGAGCATAGATCTCTACTGGCAATTTTTCTAAGCTTTGCTTGAAACAACCAAGTATAGCAACATAAATTTACTTAGGTGCTGTACTCAACAGTGAAATTCCAAGTGTGGCCAATAGCAATTTGGGTTATAGCTTGTTTTCCTGCATCATCTTCTCACCATTTCAAAAGTGGCAGCAGCTGCAAAGTAAGCTGTGCTGTTTTGGTGCGCCTGAAACAGTTCATTCTCTTTGCTAGCTTAAAAAATTAATTAAAACTCAGGAAAGCATTTAAATGTACACGATAATATATTTTAAAATATCCAACAGAACTTGAACCATTCACGGAGAAGCATATCGATCAGTTGCCTGTAAGATCAGAACAGTCTTCTCTCCATTCAGACAACACTGCCTGCGATTTCAGCAGCACGAGCAAGAGCAGGACAGGTCCCCGAGCACTGTGGTTGTGGCTGTCAGGGACAACGCATGCCCGAAGCCAACACAGCTCGGTGCTCAGGGGCACACCAGGCGGGCCAAGCCCTGCTGCTGGCGCTGCTGCCCCTTCTTGTCTCAGCTTGCTTTCTGTCACACAGTACAGGTGCAATACAGGTGCATGTATCCTACAGGGTAAAGAACACCAGAAGTTTTGTTCCCTTAAATTCTCCCAATTCCCTTTTAGTAAAAGAGTGAATAAGTCTTCAAAGACAGGTATTGTGAGTCCTTTTCACTCCCAAGCATGTGTTTCAGTGTTTCTGAGTCCAAAAATAAAACACAAACCCAAGACAAATGTGCCCCCTACCCCAAACCCCAGAAGGCCAAGCTCCAGAGACAGCAGTTAAAAATGCTAACAATTCTCCACCTAGGAAGATTCATTTTTAATTCAGACCAGCAAAATGCTCTTTTTGGGTTTGTTTAGATGCCATAATTTAAGAAGTCACTAGCAAATTAAGCAGAAAAGTGCAGAGGTGTGGGGAAATGTCCTTATATTGAAGAAACACTATGATAAGTGATCTACTTGAAGTACAGACGTGTATATATATATAAAAGAGTATTTACCATTAACCTCATCCCAAGTGGCCAATTACTGTTCTTTTTATTTCCTTTTATTATGAGATTCAGAGAACACTCTACAACAAAGCCCTTCTGATATTCCTCAGCAATTATTTCTGTGATTATGTGCTTTTCTTTTCTTGCCTGTTTGTGAGTCCCTGCAGAGCCTCAAGGAAGCCAATTGTTTCACTCCCTGGAGCAGCCACAGTCCTGGCCACCTCATCTGACCCTGCACTCATTTTGGCTGCATTTTAGCCAGCAAAGCCCCTGCTCCACCATGTGCAGCTGTCTTCCCATCTACAGCAGCCCCAGGACTATAAAAATGTGCCCTGGAGGTACTACTGGAGCTCCCATGCCCTGGGGCACTGCAGTGGGGGGCTTTGCCCACCACTGACCTTGCTCTGAAGGGACCCCAGCTGCCTCATTTCCAGCAGTGAATTCCAGAGTGAATCTGGTCCAGCTGGGGTGAGTTAACCCCCATGTCTGTGCTACCTCCAGCCAAGGGAGCCTCAGCGGATGGGGTCTGCAGGTGTCTTCTGCAGCAGTTCTCTTCCCCTGATGTGGTGGCCCAGAGGTGGGACAGCCCCAGCTGGAGGTTAGCAGTTGCCACCAACTCAGTGGTGGACACTGCTGGGGTAGTAAGGGCTGGGCAAGAGCTTTCTCTATAGAGAAAGAAAAATTGGTAAGATTTAAAAGAACTTGTCTGATACATAGTAAATGGGGGAGGGGAAATAGCACCAAAACTTTTACTTAGTGCTAGCTTGACCTTTTTGCTTGACTAAAATGCTGTTTTAATATATATGTAGGTTGCTATTTCTGTATGCACCTGGATGAGCAGTGTTCTGAAACAGTACGAGTGCCTTCATCTGCACAAAGTCTGCTGAGTCCTCAAACAGGTGTTAGGCAGCAGGGAGAGCTGGGATGTTGAATTTTAGAGGAGAAAACAACAACAATAAAAAGCTAAATGTGGTATCAGCAGAGATGTTCATCTTATAGGCACCATGTATCTGTATTCAGTAAATAGATATTACATGGTAGTAGTCATTGCATTACAAAGCCCTTGAAGCAGTTTCATTATTGCTTTTTATTTTGCTGATTGCTCATTAACTGTCTCTGTTTAACCACCTGGGTGTGAGCAACAGGGAGCTCTGTCTTTCTGCCTGTGAGAATCAGTTACAGACGGATGGGTGCCAAGGTCCTTGGAGTATGCTCTTGACCATGATAGACATGTTCAATAAGGTGGCTCAGCCTGTTGAAATAACTTCTTTACCCTGATCCATCTGATAATAAAGATAAACTGAATCACACCTATATTTGGGAAATCATTTAATGGGAATGTGTTGATGTTTCACGTTTCCACATAAAGTGAGTAGAAGTGACATGTTTTGGGTAATCTCACAGATGACGCAGCTAGTTGGGGGATTCATCCTTTATGACGATGATCAGTATCATCAGAGGGGTAGCTCCTTTTTAGCAATTCAGCCTGTATAATCCACAAAGGCTGCACGAGACGTGAGTCACACGGGGCTGTGAGATGCATGTGTTAGAGAACACTTTTCTGAGATTTGTGTTCTTGTAAAAAGCTAAACTGCGTTATACAGGAGAGCAGCAGGAAACACTTTTTAATGTTTAATGTAAAACCTTCCTTTAAATTATGTGGCTTAAATACAATGTCAAACATGCATGTTCAAGAGATGGCTTTGCAAATCCACTCTTGCCTTGTTCTACTCTGTACTCGTATGTTATTTTTTTATTCCAAAGTTTGATCTTGGCTGCAGTGTGCTGCGCATAAATACTATATAAAGACAAATGCATACGCATAAAGGAAAATGTTAGGTGCTGCAACTATTTGTTAGTCAGCTTTAGCTTTCGCTACAGTGTTTATCAACATTTTTTTTAATTATTATTATTATTTATATTGGTAAAAAGATTTATTATTAACCAGGACTCCAACACAGATAAAGAAGACTATGACCATCCTAAGAAAACCTTGCATATCACCATAGTTACATGACAAAAAAAAATCATGCTCAGTAAGACACTCAGTTATTGATGAGGAGGTGACAATATACTGTGAAATACCTTGTGTTCTTAATATGCACTTACGAACTATTCATGTTCAAAACAAAAAACATATGAAGAATGATAAAAATTTGACTTTATAGACATTAAAGCATTTTCTATTATGAAGTATTCAGCTTTTAAGAAGTATGTCTGTAATTTCATGTGTTCACAGATTGCAGGAGGTCTATTATTTATAATAGCAAATGGAATTTAAAAAATGTACCAGGAGAAAACGTGTCCTTTGCAGTCTATTGTTTTAAAATGATCAATTACTGAACCACATTTCAAATTTGTTAGCTTATTTTATTGTTGCCTTTAAAAGCTCTTGAAGATAGACCGGGGAAGTAGCCTACAAACTTGTGCTCATACCCTCCAGGGTAGCTTTGCCTGAGAGCAGGGGAAGTCCCCTAAGGCTGCTAAACCCCTATAAGCTTGTCAAATTATTAGCATAGTTAATCTTCATTGTATTTCTTTGTAGGCAGAGGAAGCTGGCAACAGACACAACAGTGCCTTCAAGCCCTTAGTGTCTCCTGGCACAGGAGCCAGGAGAAATGTCCTTACCCTGGGCAACACCTGGGGAAAAGGGCTGCCCATGCGCGGTGCTTTCTCTGACTGCCACTGCTCAGTACTGTGTGTGCAGGCTCTGTGTGTATTTCTGTGTGGTGGGACAAGACTGCCCACGCTGACTCTCCCTGAGGGTTTCTCCTGTGGGACATTCACCATTGTACATGTATATCCACAACCCCGTTCTCAGTGTGCCCTCTGTAGCTGTCCCAGACCTCTTTGTGGATCTGTCCGGGTTGCAACAAGCTTTCCAACTAAAACAAGTAGAAAAATTTTTGGAGACAATAGTCAAGAAGAGAGGAAACATCTATTTAGAATGGTGAGCCCAGTGGAAAGCTTTGCAGGGCTTTTCTCTGTGACCAGCACATTCTTTAAAGCAGCTGAAGCTGCCCGTCCCGAGGGACGCAGGCTCTGGCTGGATCACTGGGGCTGTGCACACCGTCTGGTCACAGCCAGTCTGCCCAGAGCTGGGCTTCTGGAGTGCACAAGCATTTGTAGTATCCAAACTTGCCTATTGTATGGACATTTCCATATGAATTGGATGGAAGTTCAGCTTCTGCTTTGAAGTGCAGCCATACAACAGCACTCTGTTCTTACATGTTTATCACAAGCCTGTTGCAAACTTGGGACGTTATCTTGGTTTCACAAAAATGCAAACAGCAGCAAGTCAAGAAATCTCTAACAAAACTGAGTTCTCCCAAGTTTAACTTGAAATCTAAGTGCTGGAGTAGGCTGTTTCTTGAATTGTCTAACAAGTGAAGAAAGATTTTTTTTTTTTTGGAGATGGGCAAATACAGAAGTTCATTTTAAGGTAAATCATCCTTTGGAGTATAACTTGAATCTGTTTTGAAGGTATTCTCTGGGACTACAGAGCCGTGCAGGGGATGCTGTGAGGAGAGAGGGAAGGTGGCAAAGCAAAATGTCCCTGGAGGTGCCTGTGCCAGTCACCAAGCGCCAAGGTTCCCAGATCCCTCCTGAGAAAGTCTGTGTAAAGTCATTGTAAAGGAAAATGGTTCTGCTGGTCTTGTTCTTCCTTGCCAATGCAGAATACTTGCTGCTGGAGAGCTTCACAGAATGGCCGAGGTGGGAAGGGACCTCTGAAGATCATCTAGTCCAACCCCTGCCGAGCAGGATCCCCTAGAGCACCTTGCACAGGACGGCAGCCAGGCGGGGTTTGAATATCTCCAGAGATGGAGGCTTCTCTGGGCATCCTGTTCCAGTGCTCTGTCACTCCCACTGTAAAGAAATGCCTTCTCATATTTAGGTGGAACTTGTGGAGACAACAAAGAAACCATTCCCAGCATCAGGATTTTCAGATTGGTTTCTCCAGAGCACAGTGACTGTGTGAGAAGCTGCAGTGGTTTCATCCCTGAGGTGCTCCTGAGGACTCATCCCAGCAACCCTTCTTCTGAAGATAAGATCCTATTTCCGTGCAGAAGAGATCCCGACTACCACATCAGATTTTACCACCAGTACTATTATGACTGTAAGCAACACTACACGTGCCCAGAATCCTTTTGTGAGCTGCTTCTGCTTGATCTCTGGGCATGGGAAGATCTGCTCTCTGGTCTTCAGTGGCAGTCATGCTGCCGACTCCCAGGGTGCAGAGATACCACGTCATGTTGCTATTCAGAGCCTTGGATTGCACTTTTTTCATTGCCTGTTACAGCAGAGTAAAAGCACTTGTAGTTCTCCCTGCACGCACATCTAAAACCTGCGAGAAAGGGTAAATGCCCTTACACAGTTTTGATTCCAAGCACTCGATGTCTGACTTTAATCTCACACTTTATCTTCATGGATCTTGCCCTAAAAAAGAAATTTCAGCTCTAACAAATCCACTACCAGGGGAAAAAAAAAAAAGCTTTGACTTTTTTTTTCCTTTTTTTTTTTCTAAGAATTTTTTTTAAAAAAGCTGTGTCTCCCTGAAAGTTTTTAAAATTAAAATCTTAGAGGGAGACCTGCAATGTTCCTGCAGCATGTTCAGCTGGGAGATGGACCACAGCTGCCTCAGTCCCTGCCAGTCACTGCCTCTGCACCGCCCCAAAGTGCTGTGTGTAAGCCACTTGTGTTATTTTTTAATTGACATAGCCTTGGATAGATGCTGTACCTTAGCACAGTGCAAAAAGTAATTAGAAATGGGACGCCATCTTTAGTTACTGGAATTCAAGAAAAAAGAAAGCCATCAGAAATGTCTAAAATTGACTCTAATTTCTCTCTGTGACATTAGGAAGCCTTCTCCCCCACTTCCAAACACAGGACTGTGATTTAAGCCACATGTACAGCACAGTTCTGGTAATAAAAAATGGCATTCTTATTAGAGCTCTTCTAAGTGAGAAATACTTAAAAGGATCTGAAAATCAGACTGAAACTGTTCCATTATTTCCTTTCTCACGTTGATGCTGAAAATCTGACAAACCATTAAAGGTAACAGTATGTTTTAGTGAAGCCAATATCTATTGCTAGTTGAATCTATTGAAAAACAAAGTGTGCATTAAACAGATGTAATTACATTCTAGGGGAAAAAAAAAAAATATATATATATATATATATATATTTCTAACAGTGTAAGAAAAGTGTTCATGGCTCAAATGTTGACTTTTAACCTTTCCCCCTGTTTTACTTAATCAAAATTAAAATAGCTGTTGGTGGCATAAATGCCCCATACTACGAAGGAAGAGTATGCAAATCTCCTACTGATCAATGCCCTTACTGGAACAAAAACCTTTAAAGCATACAATCAATTTAAAGAGTTAAATCCAATCCCTTTAATTTGATAGAAGAGACCTCTTTCCCCCTGCTTGCAGGTACTCATTCCATGTGTTCCAGTAAAGATTCATCAGCTCTGGGCACCTCCGCAGAGGTTAACGTTTCCCATAAAAACACCACCTGTAGTGGGGTGAGATGCTTTTCACAAATACATCTTCTCATGTAAGCTGTCAAGCAAAAGCTCCAAGTTCTCAGTGCATTTCCTGTTTTCCAGGACAGTAGGAACAAGTTTCCTGGTGTTACCCGAATATTAATGGTAACTTTCAAATAAATTTACAGTGGGTGAAGAGACTAGAAGCTAAGTTTCTGTTCATGATTTATTCATTACTTAAAACAAACATCCTGAGGACTGTTTATAGGTTTCATTAAATATCTGTGCCTCATCTAGATGTGAACTGTTGCACAGCATATTCATTGAAGGAATGGGAATGAAGTGCGGAGGCACATGGATAATTTTGCAATCAGTTTCTCTGCCTGCTGTGTGCCAGTGTGCCCAATATTTTCCCCTAACTTCCTTATATCATCTACATGGGTAATTCTGGATCGCTTCCACCAGCACCACCTTCCCTCTTTTTATTCTCAATGCTCTCTGCCCTCTCCAAAACCATACACAATTTCATGCTTAACAACTCCTGCCGTTAGAAGAGATTTATAACAGGATGTGCATATTGATGAGACACTCTCAGGGCACTGCCTGAGGCAGCTTTTTCACTTCCACTCTTGTCCTCCCACACGCGGCCTGGAGCATTCCCATCCTCGGCCAGGACCCTGCACAGAGCATTGCCACCGCGCTGCTCCCTGCCCGTGCCAGATGCCGGGGTCTGGATGTGGCCCCTGGCCAGGTACGAGCCGCCCCGGCAGCCGGTCACTGGGCTGAGCAGCACAGACACTGCCCCCAGGGCACGCTTTGCTCTGCACCACAGTGTGATGATTGCAGTGACTGAGCTGCAGAGGGTTCTTCAGTATACAAAGCACTTGAGACTACGTTAGCAGCTTGCCTGACCTCAGACAAGATCTGGCTGGCTCAGCAGTTGCTGGCCTCCAGACTCACCTGAGTGCAGATTGCTGTGGAAACTGGCTTCTTCTGGGATCACCCAAGTCTGACCCCATGTGAGTGCAAAACCTCGAAGTCTGTCTTCCTGCCTATGCATACACTTATCTAGCAGATTTAAAGACTCCCCAAATAAGTATTTCTGTGGTGCAGAGCATCATTATGTTTTTCTCCCTAATACGTAGGATGAGGATTACATCTAAATTTGATAGAGCTGTTTTCCAGTCTCAAGTGGTTTGAACAGAGTATTCCACCTTTGTTATAGAATCTGTGTAATTCAATATTCTCCTTCTCCTCCTTTGGCTAAACATCCCTGTTCAATCTTAATAGACGTTCTTCCTCTCCTAGATGTCATCGTTTGATGTGTGGTACCCAAAAATGGACAGAGTACTCCAAGTGCATATGGTAAGCAGGTGCCTTTCAGGCTGTAATGCTTTGTTCATTCCCAGACAGTTTCATGTTAAAATTTGTTCTTAGTGAAAGGTATTTTCAGCAATTTCTGGAATTTGAGTGGGTGACCTGAGCTCTATTAAGAGCTTCTAACATACTGGCTTGGCAGTTCCCACATAGCTTGGGCAATTCCTCAGTAGGCTCCAGCATGCATTTTAGATGAAAACATTAAGTGATGTAGGATGCACCATTGCAAAGCTCTACTTTGCCCATTCTTCTGTTTGGATAACAACCATTGCTCTCCAAGATGGGTTTCTAAAATCTTTCCCATCTCCTGTGTAAAGGTTTTATCTGGGTGGTGTTTGCCTTGCTCTGTTTTGAGAATGCCCCGTGAAAGAGCAAGAAAGCCTCACTAAAAGCAAAGCTATTCCTCAGCACCAGGTCCACCACCATGCCTCAGAAAACAGCTAGATTGAATTCATATGAGATGCTCCTGACAAATCGATGTTGACTTTTCATTTTTCCGTTGTTTCCTTGTGAGAACTTACAGTTGGTTCACTTGTTTATTTCACTGTTTTTCTAGAAACTAGAGTTAAGTTTCTGTAGGTTAAGACTTATGTTGACCTTTCATGTCTGTGCGAGACTTCTTTCCTGTGGAAAGTGCAAGAGGGGAATTAAATCTCAGCATGAATCAGGATGCCTTAACATCTTTCTCACTTACTGACCGATAGTCATGAAGCATAGGAAGGAAAATTTCCAATAACTTTAAACTTCCTGGTCATTCTTAGACTCAAAATTTGATGAGATCAAATGAGTTTAACATGGAACACTAGGTTAAGACACATTAGAATTCTTTACTTCAGATGAGTGGTGATCTGAATGAAACCTAGGAGTGACCATTTCAGAGTTTGGCTTGTGAACTGAATTCAGCACCAGTATATTTCCACAAGACGAGCTACACAAAACTGAGCTGAGAAATCTGCTGCCATGCTAAATTATAGTTACGGGCTTTGAGCAGCCTGGGAAGCTAGGGCCAGCAGGGGAGGAAGGGCAGAGGCATGGATTTTAATGCGAATCTCTGGAACTCCAAGGTCAAATTTAGGTTGTTTTCAAATTTCCTGTTTGCTTTCAGTTTGAATACACCCAAATACTAGAATTTTTAAGTGCTTTCTGCTACCACAGCAAACTGGCAAACCAGCTCAGCAGAGCCTGGCATGACCCCGTGGCTGGCTACCCATGGTCTGCCAAAAAATGCATCCACATCCATTATGTTTGATGCAGCTTTGATAATGGAATGAGCCTCTGAAGCAAAGTGAGGAGACGCTCATCCCACATCTACTGGAGGCAATCCTGGACCCTAAGGCTCTATGGAGCAAAATGTGGTGGGTCAGAGAGGCACGCCAGTGGCTTGTCTATCACAGCCCTAAAATACCCTGAAATCTGTATGCAGTGGCTTGGATGGCTTCAGTGTCTCCAAGTCTGCTGCAGGACCTTGTTTCTCTGAGGCTGGGTGAGGGTCTTGCTCTGGAGAGCTTCCTGGGACCAGCTCTCCTACTCAACAGGCTCCCACAGCCGCCTGTCTCAGCAGCTCCTGTCTGCTGCTTGTGGCAGCTTTACAAATGAGAGAATTAGGCAGCCATGTGCAAATGCTCGTAAAAGCATCGCACATAAGAAAATTCATGTCATTAATCAATTGCATAAACATTCATGTCAGAAAATGCAGTGAAATATATGCAAAACCCATTGCTGCAGATTGCCTTCTACGCAATTAGAAGTGCAGAAAAATGTGTAATAAGTATCAAATCTGTTTCCAAACAATTAAGGAGAGAATGAAACTTCAGTGTACTCTCAACAGGTTTATAAAAAATGTTGCAGTGTTATGAATGTTAAAAACTATGCATGTAAAAATTTGCATATATCCATACATGCAATTAGTCTACATTAATATGGGCAATAAACAGACTGTGATATTCTGTATAGCACGATCAAATAACTGATGCTTGATCCCTACAGCTTCTCTTGATGTTTATTTCTCTTTGTCCCTCATTTGTGCACAGAGGCAGTTTACTGCTCCCTCTTGAAACTCAATTAGATGTGCTGGGAACAAGGTTAACTGGGTGTATTTGTGTGACTGCATCCAGGCTTTCCTGAGCATTTGAAGCCCAGTGTTGACTGGATATTTTGTAAGCGAGAGAAAAAAAAAGCCACTGCCATGCATGAGATGACTGGATCTAATCGTTCTTACCTTTTCTGCAATTCTTTCCTCTTTCTAATAATGGCAGCATATTTATGAGTCTTGGAGAGACTTAACATTTTTTACAAAAAGCTGTATAGAAGAATACTGTTGGAAAATATATCTTGGCTTTTGAGTTCAGGCTCTATAGCTGAAGAAGAGGTTATATCCTTGATGTAAAGAAACTTTATAGAGAAGATGCATAAACCCATGTCTCTCTGATTCAGAATTTGCTTTAAGCATTCAGTTTTGCTTGGGATTGCTCACATGCCTGCACGCATTTCGTGACTAGATCCAGACACACTTAAGCTACAGCATCAGTCTCAAGCTGCTGACACTGAATGGGTGCTCAGGATCCCAGACACATTACTCCCGAGACACTGCTGGTGGTGCATGTGTTTCTTGCAGATCATCGTTTGC